AAAAAAAAAAAAAAAATCAGGCATGGTGGTGTGCGCCTATAATCTGTAATGCCAGCTACTCGGGAGGCTGAGGCACAAGAATCACTTGAACCCAGGAGGTGGAGGTTGCAGTGAGCCAAGATCGGGCCACTCCACTCCAGCCTGGGCAACAGAGCAAGGTCCCGTCTTAAAAATAAATAAATAAATAAAATAAAAATAAAAATTTCTGGCTGTATTTGGAAGAATTTTAAACTTGCTAGCAATCCTAAGAACACTTACGGTGTTTGAGTCTGGTTGTAAAGCTATCTGGTGGGACTTTTCACCCCATTAAGTAAAATATATCATTGTGATCCCAATGGTGGGTCCTATAGATGTTTGCAACAGCAATTTGGCATGTATGTATGCACATAATAAATGCATTTTGTTATATTTTAGCTTCATCTAAGAGTATGATTTAACTTACAGGTATAATGACATTTCATTTATTCGTCTTACAGGTACCGTTCTTAGTTACCTGGGACCAGGATTTCCAATGAGTACAACTAATACTGAATCATGACAGTCCTTTCTCGGAGGACAAAGGGCAACCCCAGTTACTGAGAAAGGTGTTGACAGTGCCCATCCAAGCGGTGCCCAGGGAAGGGTAAACAACTGCCTGGCATATTCTTGGCTGGAAGCACATCTATCAGACATCTAGTACTTGCACTTTATAAATTTTCAAATAAAACTACCCTTATTCTGATTAATCACCCACTGTGTAGCCTTTTAATAATTCGATTCCCATATGGCTTGCTTAAAGGAGAGAATAAGCCTGTTAGGCTGATAAGAGTATTCATCATATCTAATTTTTGTATTTCTTGAGGCTTTGACATCCTGAGACCTTGCTAACACTGGAGGGACAGTCCCTTCCAGGATAAACTAATTCCTAGAGATAGAAAACAGCTCACCCACTGAACATGCCTTCCATATGCAAACCAACCAATCCAGAGCCCATTCCCCAAACATCTCCTTTATCAGGCTCTCACAGGGCTCTCACACTCTGGGTCACCATTCCTTGTCCTAATCACCCCAGGGCCAGGAACCAGACAGCTAGAGACAGCTCCTACACCCCAGAGCCCCCTGAAGCTATTCAAACTAGCCAACCAGAAACTTGCTTACCTTGCCTTGCCCATTCCTTCCCACCAAAACCACAATAAAGCC